ACGACCTCCTGACCCTCACCCAGCCGGACATCATCCGGACCATTCACCGGGACTACCTGGCCGCCGGGGCGGACATCGTCGAGACCAACACCTTCTCCTCGACCTTCGTCGCCCAGGCCGACTACGCCATGCCGCACCTGGCCCGGCGCCTGAACGTCGAGGCGGCCCGCCTGGCCAAGGAGGCCGCGCGCGAGGTCACCCGCCTCGAGCCGCACCGGCCGCGCCTGGTTGCCGGCGCCATCGGCCCCACCAGCAAGACCCTGTCCATTTCGCCGTCCGTCGTCAACCCCGGCCTCCGGTCCGGCACCTTCGAGGAGCTGGTCGCCGCGTACACCGAGCAGACCGAGGGCCTGCTGGAGGGTGGCGCCGACATCCTCCTGGTGGAGACCATTTTCGATACCCTCAATGCGAAGGTGCGCGCGTGGGCGCCGGCGCCCTGCGGGCGGCCCCTCCTCCGTGGGCTTCCCCCCCCCCTTTCTCTCTTTCTCTCCCTATGTATCCATCTCTCCCTCCCTCCCTCTCTCCCCAGCCCCCCCCGCTCCCCCCTTCAGAATACCCTACTCACACACCGTCCACCCTGGCTCCTGCAGGCCGCCCTCTTCGCGATTGAGGCCGTCTTCTCGGAGGGCACCTTCCCCCGGGTGCCGCTCTTCATCTCCGGCACCATTGTCGACCAGTCCGGCCGCACTCTCTCCGGGCAGACCGGCGAGGCGTTCATCACGTCCGTCATGCACGCACGCCCCTTCGCCATCGGCCTCAACTGCGCCCTCGGTGCCACGCAAATGCGCCCCTTCCTGCAGAACATGGCCCGCGCCGCCTCCGGCACCCTGGTCCTGTGCTACCCGAATGCCGGCCTGCCGAACACCTTCGGCGGCTACGACGAGACCCCCTCCGACATGGCCACCTACCTGGTGCGCACACAGCCGCGCCGCCTGGCATTTCGCCCCCGCCCTCTCACCCCCCTCTCCTCCCTGCCCATGCGTGCACCCAGTCCGAGTTCGTCTCCGCCGGCCTGGTCAACATTGTTGGCGGGTGCTGCGGCTCCACGCCGGACCACATCGGCGCCATCGCCAAGGCCGTGGCCCCCCTGGCCCCGCGGACCCTGGCCACGACCGGCTCGGCGTCCGCCAACCGCCTGGAGCTCTCCGGGCTGGAGCTCTTCACGGTGGATCGGTTCACCAACTTCGTCAATGTCGGCGAGCGGTGCAATGTCGCCGGGTCGCGCGCCTTCGCGCGCATGATTCGCGAGAACCGCTACGACGACGCGCTCGAGGTGGCCCGCCTGCAGGTGGAGAACGGCGCCCAGATCCTCGATCTGAACATGGACGACGGCCTGCTGGACGGGCCGATGGCCATGGCCAAGTTCATCAACCTCCTGGTCAGCGAGCCGGACATCGCTCGCGTGCCGCTCATGATCGACTCTTCGGACTTCCGCGTCATCGAGGCCGGCCTCCGCTGTACCCAGGGCAAGTGCATTGTCAACTCCATCTCCCTGAAGGAGGGCGAGGCGGACTTCATCGCCAAGGCGCGGACCATCCTGCGCTACGGCGCGGCGGTCGTCGTGATGGCGGTACGCCCGCATGCGCGCCCACGCAGGGCCCCCTCCGGCCCGTGCCTCGCGCGCGCCCCACTTGTCCTCCGTCTTCCCCTTCTGTTAGCCGGGCCTGTCCTGGGCGTTGTGCACTGCCCTCTCCCCCGCCCTCTCCCCCGTCCTCACTCCCCCTCACCCCTCCCCTTCTTCCCGGATCTGCACCCGACCGCTGCGCGCGCAGTTCGACGAGACAGGCCAGGCGGTCACTGCCGCCGACAAGATCCGCATCTGCACCCGGTCCTACAACATCCTGGTTGACCAGGTTGGCTTCAACCCGCAGGACATCATCTTCGACCCGAACATCCTGACCATCTGCACGGGTATTGGTACGCGCCTTGCCTTTCCTCCCTCCCGGGCTCGACACCCACTCCACCGTACATGCGTGCATGCTCACCGCGCCTTCCGTCGTCCTGTCGCCGTGTCCGCACCCGGCCCCGGGGGCCGCCCACAGAGGAGCATAGCAACTATGGCGTGGAGTTCATCGAGGCCGTCCGTGCCATCAAGGCCACCCTCCCCGGGGCCAAGGTCAGTGGCGGCGTGTCCAACCTGTCGTTTGCCTTCCGCGGGCAGGAGACCATCCGCGAGGCCATGCACTCGGTGTTCCTCTTCCACGCCATTCGCGCCGGCTTGGACATGGGCATCGTCAATGCCGGCCAGCTGCCGGTGTATGATGACATCCCGGCCGACCTGCGCAACCTCTGCGAGGCGGCTCTCATGAACACCGACCCCGATGTGACGGAGAAGATCCTGGAGTATGCGCGCGAGGCGGCCGAGGCCGGGGCCGGGGCCGGCCCCGGTGGCGCCAAGTCCGGCCGGTCCGAGGGCAACGAGTGGCGCCAGCTCCCGCTGGATGAGCGCATCGCCTATGCCCTGGTCAAGGGCCTGGACACCTACATCGTCCAGGACACCGAGGAGGCCCGGCTCGACACCACCTCCTACCCCCAGCCCTTGAACATCATCGAGGGGCCGCTCATGTCCGGCATGAGCCGCGTCGGCGACCTCTTCGGCGCCGGGAAGATGTTCCTGCCGCAGGTGATCAAGTCGGCCCGTGTCATGAAGAAGGCCGTGGCCCACTTGATCCCCTTCATGGAGGCCGAGCGCATCAAGGCCCTGCAGCAGGCAGGCACCGAGGCCGATGCCTCGGGCGCCAGCCAGGAGCCCGCCTACAATGGCACGGTGGTCATGGCCACGGTCAAGGGCGACGTCCATGACATCGGCAAGAACATCGTGGCCGTGGTGCTGGGGTGCAACAACTTCCGCGTGGTGGACCTCGGTGTCATGACCCCCTGTGACAAGATCCTGGACGCGGCCGTGGCCGAGAATGCCGACGCCGTGGGCCTGTCCGGCCTCATCACCCCCTCGCTGGAGGAGATGGTCACCGTGGCCAAGGAGATGGAGCGCCGCGGCATGAAGGTGCGCACCTTTCCCCTTCTCTGCCTCCCCCCCCCCCCTCCCCTCTCTCTTTCGCTCCGTCGTTGCTCGCCTTTCCCGGTCTCCGGCCCGCTCTCCTTTTTCAGCCGGCGACTATGCGCATGCTGACACCCCCCCCCCACGCACACGCACACGCGCAAACGCCATGCCCAACCGCATTCCCCGCCCTCCTCATGTGTCGCTCTTCCTGCTCGGCCAGATCCCCCTCCTCATCGGCGGTGCCACCACCTCCAAGGTCCACACCGCGGTCAAGATCGCCCCGCACTACAGCCAGCCCACCATCCACGTCCTGGATGCGTCGCGCACTGTCCCCGTTGTACGTGTACCACGCACGCGCCCTCCCACTCTCTCCCTGCATTCCGCGCACGCCGGGCACCTGCC